AATTGGTTCTCATAAGATGCTTGAGTCGAAAAAGAAAACTACTCTCGATGGACTTGTGCTCGAGAGCCCTCTTGACATTTATCGAGTGCTCAAGTTATGGAAAATGTGCTCGAGCACCCTCTGATGTTCATCGAGCACATATTTTGAGGTACATTCATTTTGGTCACTGCTTTTATATTTTGTGCATCTTGATTCCTTTTTCTATTCAATTTCAATCATTTCTCTTCTAGTTTCATCCAATTGACTCCATCATTTCTCTTTTAATTTCATCCAATTGCTCCATGTAAGCTTCAAATCATCGTTTCTTGGTCTAAACCAATTTGTGAATATTTGCAATTTAGTCCCTAAATTTTGAAATTATTCATTTTTTGGCCTTTTTCGTTCAATTTCCACTTTTTTTGATCAGAACCTACTCAAGCTTGAGTATATCTTACGACAATCGATTTTTAACCAAATTAAGCTGCAATCCATTCAAATAGACACCTAAATATTCACTTTTGATGGTCCACAAAAGTTCTTGTTTGACTCTTGTTACGCCTTGCGAAACTAGGACCCACACATGGCCCCAATTAGGTTGCGTGGAAAGCGGCACGGGAACCCCACATTCAGTACAGTGATGGGGATGGCCCAGCCAACATGGATGACCATCTTTAAGAAGTTTGAACGACCCCGTGTAGAAGAGGTTGGTCCATTGCACGTTAACCCCATGGCAAGAGCCAGTCCAGGGCAATGTAGTAATGAATCTCGAATAGATCTTGTTCTACGCAGATGAAAAGATAATTCATTGTCACTGCCGTCGTAAACCTATTCGGTCAACTCCAAGCCACAGGCTAAGTCGTATAATTACCAAAGCCATACTAGCATTTAAACCTGTGATTGATTGACGTCTGTGATTGGAAAGGTCAATCCTGTGGATGGAGCCACGTGCATCATCATCTGATGGCCTCCATTCACCCTGTCCAAATATAAAAGCTCACATTTAGCGTCATTCGAAGGGAATGCAAGTTTAGACTCTTAAAATTATATTCTAGCCACCCATTTATTTCATTCATCTCTCAAAGTCGACCCCCTTTCTTTTATTGGAGGCTTATGTTTTAAGCTCTCCCAAAACCATAATTACTTCTCGAATTGACTTGACCATCGGAGTGCGCGCAGCCAACTCCACCCCTTCCGGAGGAGGCCACATGTGCCTAACGTTGTGTCCAAGAGTGCAAGAATCCAGGTTGCGTGGACATGAGAGATCTTGAGAACTGTTAAAGACCTCATTGGAACATTTTTAGGGGTCAACAATTCTCATTTTTAAAACTTTTTTTTTCAAAATTCATTTTCAACTCCACATCTCATGGATATACAATTCTATTATACATTTAATCAATTTTTATTAAACTTTATTAAAAATATGATTTTTAACAAAATTAAACATGGGCTAAATTTCTTTTGTCCTAAATAGGTCATTTAACTTCATTTTGTTCTTATTTGGGATTACAATAAGTTTTTTAGTAGAATTTGATAAAATATAATGAAATGTGTAATTGAAAAGTTACGAGTTCATAAAATATATGATTAAAATTAATTATTAGCTTTAATTTAGATTAAAATCTAAATTTTAATTTCTACAAAATAGTCTTCAATTGCAATGTTTTGCCATTGTACCTTTAGGTTAGTTAAAAGGGGTTTTTTTTAAGAACATTAAGTCGCAGTTTGTCACTCATTATTTGGGATTTTAATTTTTGGAATGATATTTTTTTAAAGTGTGTGTGGTTAAAAAGAAGAAAAAATTTTGGTTTTATATATAATATTATTTTATTGAAGAATTTGTGTTTGAACATTAGAGCCTGTTTGGTGCACATTAAAATGAAAGAATGCATTTTTTTGAAGTGATGTAATGGGGAATATGTGGTTGAAAATGAAGAAAAAGTTATTGATGTAATAGAAAATATTATTTTATTGAAACTTGTGTAGTTGAAAATGAGTAAAAGAATGAAAATGAAAAAAATAATGTGGCTCAAACAGGAGCTAAGTCCCAGTTCACAAGAATTATTTTTGGTTTTATATGGTTGAAAAGAATGAATTTTTTTTTGGATTTATATGTAAATATTTTATTGTGTAAATATATGGTTGAAGATGAGTATAAAAATAAAAAAAATTTGAAATAATGATCGTGGCTAAATCGTGAAAATTTCCTTTGGAAGTTAGTGAACTGATTGGAAGGGGAACGATTTATTTGCTCGGCAGGCTTGTCTCCTTTGGCTGTGAACAATGCTTGGATGGAATCTCGTAGTTTACTAATAAAGGCAAGGTTCAGAGAATGGTCCCATGTCCTATAACTGACCAAAATAAATGCAAGGTTCAGAGAATGGTCCCATGTCCTATAACTGACCAAAATAAATGGCTCTATTCATGTCCAATCAGAATTTAATGGGGTAATGGGTGGGTGGGGGGTCCCCTCTATCCGTCCCTGATCCTTTCTCATATGTGCTGAGGGAATCCAAAAAATAAAATAAAATAAAATAAAATTGGAAAGAGTCGGTCCATTTAGCATAACCTACATTTTTCAAGAAATTTTATTTTCCATAAAACACTTTGATTTTTATATCATACTTTAGGTTCCTTAAATCTGATCTTAAAAAATTTAAAAAGCTAATCCAATATCTATAGGCTAGTTCATACAAAATAAATAAATAAATAAACAAACAAACAAATAAAAATGACATGTGGTGTTTTCTTGTTTCTCAACTTTTATTTCTTCTTTAGCAAATGAAGACCTTTAAATGCCCTACACAAACAATAGAGTTGGGAAAAGCGTTGTGCTACGGTAGTATTCATACATAATGATCTAAGCATACTTTCGATATATTTGATAAAAGTTAATGGAATGTTGGTTGAAAGTTGAGGATCCCAGGAATGCACGATTAAAATTCACTATTGACATTGACTTAAATTTCAATTTAAATTTTATGCCGATCGAAAGAGAGACTAAGTTTGCGTGGTTTAGTATAGAAAAATACACGATGTCATGGTGTGCATGTGTTATATATAAAACAACTATGTTTCATGTGTTGTTACGTATTATTAAACATCGTTGTGCAATGCTAAATAGAATGAAAGTTAAAATATTGCTAATAGTACTGTTCACTATAATCGAGTACTACTTACCAAAAATTCTCGAAAGATATTTATTATTGTGTTAATTGTGTGTATATTAGAAGGTTAAGTTTGACACGCCAAATTACACCGTACAAGAAATTATGCATATAATTAGAAAACTTAATATTAGGTAGATAATATAATGGTAGATTAAGGTGAATAGTATTTATAAGTTATTAATTCAAAACAATTATATGCACTAACTTTGTTACCCGGCCTAAATTCACCTATCTCTACTTATTATGTTACCCGATTAGTTTTAAGAACGTTATTGCAATAACATTCTTTTGAATAATTTTTTTTTTTTAATACCATTAATTTTTTTTCTTTTGTCAAGAATGCCTTCAGGGATTGTCAAGAACGCCTTCAGGGGTTTTTTTTCATGTTTCCAAGAGTTGTATCTCGTGCTCTATAGATCGAAAATTTAGCCAGAATTTGGGTGCTGAGAATTATTCTCAATTTGGGTGCTCAGAATTCTTTTTGAATGGGGAAATGTGAAAAGGGCATTGAAATTTGGTGGGCTATTTGCACTTTTTATAAAGTTTGGGCTATAATTGCAATTCATTCTTTATTTTTATTTTCTTTTGTGTTTGTTTTATTGTAATAGAAGGGTAAAATGGTCAAAAAGTGACGAAAATGACGTTTTGCTCCAAAAATGTGAAAAGTAGGGACGTTCTTCGCCAAAAAAAAAAGGCATGGACTTTTTGCACAGAACCATGCAAAGATAGGAACGTTTTGCATCAATTACCCATTAATCTTAATCCACCATAATATTATCTATATAGTATATTTAAGGCCTGTTTGGTAGGAATTCTCATCTTTTACTGTAAATCAATTCTCATTTTCAACCACACATTCTTCAATAAAATAATATTTTCCATCACATCAACAATTTTTTTTTTCTTTTTCAATCACACATTTTCCATCATATCACTATTCAAAATCAATTCTTCCCCCAAAAAATCATTACCAAACAAACTCTTAATCTAATTTTATATTCAGATTCTTGTAATTGTGCGTGTGTGTGTGTAAAGATATTTCTTCTAAAATGGTGGGGTCACTAAGGTGAGTCACAGTTGTTTTATTACCACCTGCCATATTTTGGTAACAGGCCTGTCACAATTACAATTTTCTTAAATTTTGTTGACATTGTGTGATGTTGACACACATTTTTGTAATTGATTTTAACCACGTTCAAAATAATTAATGATCTCCACTTTAACACCTTATGCAATGTCAAGAAAAATACACATTTTCAATGTACAAATAGTTTAATTCATTTTGATAATCTATTAACTGGATTTGATCTCCCCACTCTTTGTACTACATCCTTTTAATTTCGTTTCTTTAATAAAGTTCTTAACTATGACTTTCATAAAAAAATGTTGATTCGGAATCTCACAGCTAATTACTTCCCTTTTATATTCTTTTGCGTCGTATTTGTATCGTTAAACTAGACAATACTGTACATGATATGAAGAACAACAGTAAAAAAATCTTGTTCATCCAATACTAATCGATCTTATCCAGTCAAGCGGTATGACAACTCTTTATCTTACAACCGGACATGTTAACTTCTGAATTGACAAGACGTGTTATCATCTTGTAAGTACACTACACTACCAATCAATACTGGGTGCTGAAGTCAAGAACAAGCTAACTTGTCACAGCATCTTTTATCAACTTGGAAACAAACACTTCTTCATATATCCCCATCTAAAATATTTAAGAAAATGTTGGGCACTTTCATTTTTGCCCCCTTCCTATGTCTACTTCTCTACTTCTTGAATTCAGTTCCATGGAAATTTAGTCAATCCCACGAGTTCTTAGGCCATGGTCCAACTTCATACCCAATGATTGGATGTATGATCTCTTTCTACAAGAATCGACACCGTCTATTGGACTGGTACACCGATCTCCTCTCTGTTGCACCCACACAGACTATCACAGTATCCCGACTCGGTGCTCGACGTGCCATTGTTACAGCAAACCCTAAAAATGTAGAATATATTTTGAAAACAAACTTTTGCAACTTCCCGAAAGGCAAACCCTTCCAAGAAATTCTTGAAGATTTTCTTGGTAATGGTATTTTCAATGTGGATGGAGATCTTTGGTACAACCAAAGGAAGCTAGCTAGCCAAGAATTCTCAGCTAAATCCTTGAGGGATTATGTTGTAAATTCACTCAAAGAAGAAGTAGACTCCAAGTTACTGCCATTGCTGGAATCATTGGCAAATGACACTAACAAAACATTGGATTTGCAGGATTTGTTAAGAAGGGTTACATTTGATGTTGTCTGTAAAGTTTCATTAGGGCATGATCCATGTTGTTTGGACCATTATTCTCTGCAAAATTCACCTCGTATTATCGAAGCATTTGACATGGCATCAGAGATATGTGCAAGAAGAGGTGCGGCACCACTGTCTGCCTTGTGGAAGGTCAAGAAATTCGTTGGGATCGGGTCAGAAAAGAGGCTTAAAGAAGCCATTGTGCAAATCCACATATTTGTGGGAGATATCATTCATGACAAGAAGAGAAAGTTGAGTGAAAGTAGACGAGGAGATGATGAACAAGATCTTTTATCGAAAATGATATTAGGTATGTTGGCCAGATTTGATTTTGCATTACAAGCACAATCCGTGTATAATTTTCATGAATAGTTGGCAGTGAAACTTAAAACTTAAGACTTCTGTCTACTCTGTTTTGATATAACGTTAAACTATCTCGTCTAAAAAGCTCAAACTTATAGAGATTTATTTACTTAAATTTTGTCTTCAACAGGTGGCAATGAAGAAGATTTTATGAGAGACATGATGATAAGCTTCATCATGGCAGGGAGAGACACAACATCGGCGGCAATGACTTGGCTCTTTTATCTATTTTCATGCCATTCAGATGTAGAACATGAGGTGGTGAAGGAATTAGGGTTTGTCGTTAACAATGATAATGAAAAGTTATCACAATATGAAATCTTGAAAGAATTGAAATTCTTAAAGTCTTGCATTTGTGAGTCTATGAGGTTGTATCCACCAGTTGCGTGGGATTCAAAACATGCTCTTTCCGATGACGTCTTGCCGGACGGCACCCCAGTCCGAGCCGGAGACAGGGTTACTTATGTCCCCTATGGTATGGGGAGGATGGAAAACTTGTGGGGAAAGGACCGATTCAATTTCAAACCGGAGAGATGGATTTCTGAAATGGAACAAGGAAGAATAAAAGCATTAAAGAATATATGCCCTTACAAGTTTCCAGTGTTTCAAGCCGGTCCAAGAGTTTGTCTTGGTAAAGAATTTGCTTTCATTCAAATGAAGTACATTGTCGCTTCCATATTGAAGCGGTTCAAATTTAGACCGGTTTCCTCTGACCGGCCAGTATTTGTGCCACTTCTCACTGCGCACTTGGAAGGAGGCCTTAACGTATTTGTACAGAAAAGGTAAATTTGTTATATGAATAAATATTAACTATTAGAGCAAAATATTATGAATAAATTTTTATTTCTTTTTATTGTTTAATCTGTGAAGTGGAGCATTTCAAAATAAGTTGTGTGGCAACAAAAATCAGTGAATTAATATGCTGGTGGGTCACCAAAATGTTAGGAAATTTTCACGTCAATCACTGAACTAAAATTTTATTTCGTTCATATGATTTGTTAGCTTAGTGTCATATTAGTTTTTTCTGTTAATTAACCAACTTTTAATAAATATTTTAACTTCAAATAAGGTAAAGCTTAGTAATCAACGTAAAAATTCTGGTGACACCCATGTTTTTAACCCCATATTTCCAAACTAAGAGCTTGTTTGTATGAGATTCTCAAATTCTACAAATCAATTCTCATTTTCAACCACACATTTTTCAATAAAATAATATTTTTCATCACATCAATAATTTTTTTCTTCTTTTTCAACCACACATTTCCCATCATATCACTATTCAAAAATCAATTCTTCATTCAAAAATCCCAAACAAACACCCCCTGAAGGAAAGCTTCGAGAGGCTAAATATAAGCTGCCACCTTGAAACCATGTAATCTTAACAACTATGCACTGCATTGGGTTGATTAACATACATGTACACACATCAACGTCACATTTCGTATTTCGTGTGTAGATATGAAGAACGCGAGATAAATTATTAAAAGTATACATGATTCTAGTCATATTAAAAAAGAGAGTTTCCAAACCTTTAAAATCGGACTCCAATTGCAGAAACCATTCAACACACTTTGTTAAATCGTCACACATAACCTCGATATAATCAACTCTATCATCATGGGCAAAAGTGACAAAAAAATCATAAAATTGGTCATGTGACGATTGAACAATGATTTAAACAATGCCGTCAATAGAGATTGGTTATGCAACCACACTAAAGGTTAGGGTACCAACTTGCAACTTAAACAATGGATTAGAGAACATTTACATATTTAGGAAATTAAATAGCGAAGATCATGCGTATGCACGTATATCAACAAGAAAATGGAGAGTTTTGTCCTAAAGTATTTTTTATTCCAATAAAATAGTGGAGAGTAGACAGCCAACGCACACTTTATTTTAAAAATTCAGCTCAAAACATGTGGACCATATAATGCACCAACGCACGTTATAACTTTGTCCATGTGCTTTATTTCATTGCCCATAATTCGTTTGTCTTCTTCTTATACCATCATAATATTTTTCTAATATTTCTCACTATTTAAACTCTTTTAAGCGTTGATTGTTTTTTTGTCAAAAAAAAGAAGAAAAGTTATTTGCTATTTAGTTGTAAATGAATTGATAAAATGTTGGGGAATTTTCTCTCATTTTGTTCAATACATCTCAGTATTTTACGTGAACCAAGGAGATTGAATTTGTGCCTTCTTTCTCACGTTTTCTCGTTGCATCATTTTGGTATTAAAGTCGTTCTATGCTCAGTATGCTATCGAGGAGTTCATGACTCATTTGTAAATCTTTTGTAGAAGTGCTCACATGACACGTCTAATAACAGTTGAACTTGCTTACATGAAAATGTCCGCGATAACCCAACATCAAGATAGAGGGTGCAGGGTACGTGCAAGAAGAAGAGTAGCACAAGGCGCTAACGGATGGGGCGCTGCGAGCTGCACGGAACCAGTTGATTGACAATATGATGTTGAATTGGAGTTCGACATGATTCTTTTGCTCCATTTAATCCTGATTTTGGGACTAACTTAAGCGAAAGGTATAATGAACTATCCTATCTCGATAGAAAGCCCGTTGATGAGATTCTCGAGAAGCAGTTTAAAAAACACATGTAATCTACTTATAAACTTTGAAAATCACTTTTCAGTGTTGTTCAATGATCATCATGAAATCTGAAATCTGGTTCTCAACACGAATCATTAAATTCTATTTTAGAAAAAGATAAGTTTTTCACTTTTAAGTGTGGGATCAAGAGATTCAAGGAATGAAAGACTGATATAATCAATAAAAACTTTTTTATTGCAATGGGTCGTGTGGGAATGACATTGATGCTGTTGCAATACACATAAACTTGTATTCAAGTCAAATTGGGCATGTCTTATATGGCGATTCTAGAGAAAGTCCATATTATTTCTCATGGATTCAGGATTTGCAAGAAGCCTGAAGATGGCGTGTTCGATGGATCTAGTGTCAAGGGATTCGGGGCTGTTGGAGCACGAAATTTCCAATATTGTTTCTTAAGTTACAGGCTGAGCGAAAAATTGTCATTACATGATACTTGACAACTGAGAACAAGTACAAAGTTCGACAGTAGAATTTCTTCAACTAGACCAAGGGAAATGATGTCCTTTTGGACCATTTTATTTGTTTTATTTTTATGAGGAAATTGCATTAGATGTCAATTTTTGTCTTTGCATTTATAAAAATGTCACTTTTTAAAGTTTTTCCAAGATTGTCAATTTTGGACATTTTTGCCCATTTGCATAATTTAAATACCTTACATGTCTAGCATTAATGGAGATTTGACTATATTTAAATTTTATACAAAATGTCAATAATATAGTACCATTTTTTGGTGGCCCATTTATTTATTTTTGTATTTGTTAACCTAAGTCTTCAGCCAAGCCGTTTAGTTACCTCGTCCTCCAGTGCTCCTCCCCAACAAAATACAAAGAGAGAGAGAGAGAGAACCATGACTCCCGATTCCGTTAGGCCATGTCGCCGTGAGGCTCGCCAGTGAAGGATGCCGAAGATGTCGAAGACTCCCGACTCCGCGTCATATTCCACTCAAATTTGAAGCAGCATATGTCGAAGATGTAGCTCACTCTACTTTGGTTAATATAGCTCGAAATGTTCGTGGTATGTTTCCCACTCCCCTATCTCCACGTCATTCTGGTCCTTATCTTTCTCATTACAATGCCCCAGAGAAATTAAACTTGAAAAAATAATTTTTCCCCATTCACCGTCCACTATCAAAACAATAAAATTATCATTTTCTCATATACAATCCTTGATTCTTTTCCTCATTGGCAAAAATGGATTTTTCATAATAATTTGCCGTACATTTTTTATTCGTCTTATTTAATTTAAGAGTTTTTTCAGTAACTTTTTCTTTTTAAAGAGGTTGAAATTTCGTTTGAAATGTGTTTTAATTCAACAATTTCCTGATCCAGCAACAGACTTGACGTTCTACTGGAACCAGGGTTCCTCGTAGTGCTTTGGAGGAACGAAGGTTCTTATTTTCTGTTCTCTCTGCACTTGTAAGTATTTTCCGACCTTTTATAATTTCCGTGCTTTTGGCATTTATGTTTGATAAAGGAACCTACAAATTGCATCTCAATAGTTCATGNCAATGTTGGGTGCCACCCAATATCGATTTGTCCACGCTGTGCGTGAGGGGGCGTATTAGAATCCCACATTGTTTGGGAAAATATAAATGATCCACTTAATAAGGTGAGGGCAATCCTCCCCTAATAAGCCGGTTTTATTAGGTGGAGTTAGACCCAATATTCCTAACAGGTATGCGTTCAATGGACAATTGTGTTAATTCATTTACATTGTCAGGGGATGAAATGCTTACTTTTTTATTGGTTTCATTGAGAAATAAAGATGAAAGAAGATCTTCTACCAAATAAAGCTTCGACTATTGAGCTTGTTTGCTCTGTAATGAAATATTATTTTATATTTGAGTATGTTGAAGCGATCCTAGTGTGAAACTATAAATTAAATCTCTGTATTTATTGATCATATTTAGGAGGGTCCATTTTTGTGTGGAATCATTTATATTCAAAATTTAGTTTGTGGGCTTCAATGCGCACATATTTTGTAGTGTGATATGGAATTCCCATGACGAATTGCTAGATTGTTGACCTTTTGCTTCAAGCATCTTATTTTTCTCGTAACTCAAGAGAATTGAGTCTTTTATATTTCTCTGCAAAGGATTCTTTTAAGTTATTCATAGAGGTACTGCATTAATTGGTCAGTGCACATGGTTGATGAGTAGGAAAGATGTCAACTCAATACCCTATTCTTGATAACCACCCAATCAATAAGTGGAAGGTGACTGAGTTGAAGGAAGAGCTTCAAGAAGAAACCTGAAGTTAACTGGATTGAAGGATGACTTGGTAAACCAATTGGATGAAGCGATTCGAAATGAGTGGGCAGCTTTAGACACACCAAAAGGTGAGAATTTAGATCGTGAGAGTGAACCTCTTGATTTTAATATTACTATCAATGAAACTGCGGCAGCCCAGCCCACTCCTGCTGAGGGAGCACATGATTTCCATAAGCTTGAAGAGGAGGAAATCGTGAAGTTATTGCAAAGTGATGCTGTTAGGGTTGGGAAACCAAGAGATGTAGAGGCCTCCAAGGAGAGCTGTGGCATTGCTAATGTAGCTGTTGGTAACATGACCTTGTCTGGTGAACAAAGACCAGACGACAGTGATATTTTAGTGGATAATGAGGTATTGAAGTCATTAAGGAAGCACTTGAATATGACAAAGTCGGGATGAGAAGTGAGGTTTTGAAGCCTGGCAAGAATGACAATAGTCTTGTAGAAGAGCCAGGATCATGTATTTTTAAAATCAAAATAAAGGTGGTAATTATGTATCACAGGATCATGTATTTTTACGTTCTCAAGGGTGATTATGTTCAGCTTTCTAAGTGAAAATGTCTTTTGACTTGTAGGTAAATTGAGTGTTACTTTATGGTTTTTGACTTAAGATCGGAAGACGTAAAGGTAGTTTCCAGATCGGTTATATTAATAATGTACCTTACATTTGCTTGTTTTTATAGAGTTAATGCTATAATGTGGAAGAAGTCTCATTGATGATCTTGTCTTGTATTTGCTTTATAAAATTTTCTTGATATTTTCATTGTCTAATTGGCTCCTACTATGTGGAGAGGACTGGCCGGTTTGGTGAGATGATTGTAAATACTTTACTTGTTATATAAATTGAAGGAAAAGAAAAGAATTACAGCATACAAAAACTGAGTGTTGAGTGGAAGGGGGCTAAACAGTATACTTAAGATTTTTCAAACTCTTGTTGGTTGTTGTTTTCTAATTGGTCATTAGGAATGCACATAGTAGAGATGATTCTACTACCCCTTTGTAATTCTAAATTTTATCTCCTAATGATCGAAACATAAATGACCGGCATAAAAACAATGAAGGTAAAGTGCCTATAGTCATGTATTAATTGAAATTTATGCATTGCAACAAATTGGGCTAGATTATGGGAATTATGCTCGTTATTTACATTTGGAAATGTTATTGAATTGATTACATTAGTTAGCCTTTGCATTATTACAAGTATTGGGAGGAATTAGAATTTCTATATTTACAAAACAAGTGTATTTACGAGGAAAATCTCACGTTTGTTCTGCATGTAGAAATGAAATTAGCTCTTGAATAATACCTATTTAAATAGAGGTCAAAAGTAGATTTCCTGACAATTCACTTCAGTAGAGAGATGGAATAGCGTTGAACTGTCATTCCAGACAGTTCACAGATAGTTCACCGCAGTAATTCTCGATAGTTGGAAAAATATCGACAGATGAATTGTCGAGACCGACAGTTGAGGTCAATTTTTCTCGACACTTGACAGTTCCACATGTGGAACGTTGGTTCATCCGAGCGTGCGTAATATGTGTGTTTCGCATTTGCATGCACAATTTTTTCATTTGTTTTCTTGCAGTTGTATTATAGTGTTTCCTGTGTTATGATGTTCGTACTACTGTTGATATTCATTTTATTTCCTTACATGATGTTCGTATTATTTCGGTAAATTGTGTTTCGTAATTTGTTGTTGTACATTGCCATCAACATGTACCACATATCACGATCTGACATTTTTTTCATTTTCTTGCTGTACCTTGCAGAAGAGATGAATTTCGAATGGGAGGTACCCGATAATGCTCGGTTGTGGGAGTACGTAAAAAGGGTCATGGACCATTTCGATGAGCGACAGCTCCAAAACTTCTGCAACTCATGCCTCGGGTTCCTTGACGACGTTGCAGACATCCAATTCTCCGCCCAACTGATCCAACAACTCGTCTTCAGATCCATACGGACGAATAAGGTCAATGAATTGTGGTTCAATGTGCAAGGCCACTTGACTCGATTTGGACTGCAAGAGTATGCAGTCGTGACGGGATTAAGATGTAGTCTCCTTCCGGAAAAGTTGTTTCACTAAGTTTGCTTTGAGTTGGATAATTGAATTTGGAGTCGTAATCCTGTAAAAGGAAGATAATTTTTATATTATGTGTTAGCAAAGTTTCATGGTGATGCCAAAATGTTGTCTTGATGAATGTTATTTTAACTCGAAAACGTTACAATTGTCTCATCTCATTTTCTTCCACTTAACCTCAGTCTTTCAATTATATTTCACCTTTTGATATTATATATATACAAGCTTGTTTGATATGTGTATTTTCTGTATATGAGCGATATTAGTATGACTACAATTTATATAAGTTTGTGAAACAATATGTATTAAAATTAATAATTCAATACTAACTGTACATGTCCAATTGGGTCTTCACACTGATAAGCATTTTTGAAAAATATTCATGTATAATCTTCCCGTTACTTGCTTAAGTTCCACGTACTATAAACTTCAGAATTATGTAAGAGTAGCAGGACATTTGTTATAACGATGTCGAATGTAGATTGGGGCCCATGGATCCTTCAACTGTGACTTAAAATTTTTATCTGTATGAAAAAATGTTGCACATATTATCCATGTTGTCTAAAGTTGGGGTACTATTTTGTGGTTGGAATGCGAAAACATGCAGTGAATAAACATGTTCACGAATCCTCATCGAACACTTCAGTTCATGCATGGTTTTTGCGAGTCATAGTTCCTTGCCTATTGGTGCATCAATTTGTTGAAGTATGTAAAAATTTCATAGGACAATACTACTTGTGAGTGGATACAAAGGTCATAATGAGAATTGATTGCCAACAACTACATGCAAGATTGTAAAGAGAAAATAGTACGCAATCATTAAAATTTACAATGATCATAAATTATGTGCAAAGTTGAAGTAAAAAAGGTACAATTAGATATTAAACAATCACACCAATTGGTTGTCAAGTTAAGTTTTAGATGTGATTTGGTGGTTGTATAATAACTGACCATAGTTGCTTCCTTCAAAGAAGTTCATTATAAATAGCATTGCATAATTAAATGAGTTACACTTGAAAACTTCATAAGCTTTGTCACTCTATATACTAATCAGGTAGAAAAACAGTTTCACACATCGCATTTGCATGCCACTAATGACTTCGTCCATAGGAAGCAACGAACCGTTCAACCTGAATGATCCTTTGCTAATACTCGGTTCGTCCCTGTTATGTCCCATCATAATTTTTTCGGACGATGAGGATATCAACCATCCGAATGGTAGGAGAGCCATTTTTCTTGTTCCTTTTCCAAACTTTGACGAAGTTGCAAGTGAAGCATCACAGTCACCAAAGACTGTGCTCGATGAGGGGTTCCAGTACATGGTTAGGTACGAAGATGAATCCGTTGAGGATGAGTGATTGGAAAACGTTGCACCTCCTGAGATAATTGCCATAAGTTCAGAAGATTCTGATGAAGATAGTGGGGGAGAAAGTTCAAACGTCGACAACGAATGAGGTGGGAGGTAGTTCCATATGGTTGTGTACAAATGGATAAGTGCCAGTTCTTTTGTAGTCACTTTTCTCAGGGATGTTTTTGGTAACAGTCTTTACCAAAGAGTCAGCAACAACATGTCCCTCGTATGTCTAGTTCCAGTTTGTAGTTTGTGCCAACTGTCGCGAACGACATAAATAATATGTCGAGAACAATAATGAATTATCGAGTTGTCCTATATGTAGTTACAGTTTGTGGTCTGTACCAACTGTCGAGAACGACAGAAACAATCTGTAGGGAATGACAGATGAACTGTCGGATTTTCATGCATGTAGTTACAGTTTGTAGTCCGTCCCAACTGTCGAGAATGACTGAAACAATATGTCGGGAACGACAGATGAAGTGTCGGGTTATCATGCAATGTTATGTCAATGAATCTATATTTTAGTTGTGAATGTGAACATGTCTACTACTGTTTGCAAAAGATAATGGATTTTGAATGATAATGTAAGTTCGAAATAATAATGCAAGTTGAAAACGATAATATACGAACATAACGAGTAATAACGTCTGCAAACCATAATTAAAATAAAACGATAACAGAACTTCATATTGTACAACGCCATTGGAGAACATTTAACATACTACTTCAAGCAAGCAGCAATAGTTGCTTGAACATCGGGTATACGATTTAGCTTGAACTCACGACAAGTGCACGTGTTTTCAAAAAGTCTACTATGTCCGTGTCATTGGATATTCCAATATGTGTTAAGCTGTCTGTCAATGCATGAGCTCGACGCCTAGTACCAACTTCGAATGTTGTCTATAACTCGCTCTCCATCCTCAATGATAGGATAGTATCGGCTTCGAATGTTCTCATCTGAAGGTGCAGTCCCAAAATAAAAAATTAGAGTTTCGGGTGCATTATTGTTTGATACACTATACTGATGATTGCACTTCTCATGTTGTACATTTTGGTGAACATCCGCTACGGCCAACGAACGATTTGGACAATTTGTATCCCTCTCCATGCCAAGACTTGAGAGCTCGGCTTCCGAAACAGTAACGCATAT